ATGCCCTTGATGCCCTTTTGCTTGCTTTCGTTTTGCGTTTTTCCAGTAATTCTTTACCTTGAAAAGTGTTTTTTTTTTCAGCATCACCCGGAGATGGATGTGGTCAAGGAGGGCGATGTGGAGGAGGTTCAAACTGTGTGAACAAGATTTGTACATGTCCTGCTAACTACATCGTTTATGAACAGCAATGTCGATTACAACCAATATGTCAGTTCAAGCGTTCTTTAACTTGAACCAATAATCAGTAAGCGAAATAAACCGTTTGCTTATCAAATTTCTTTGTTTTCAGCACAGCCAGGAATGAGGTGCGGAAGAGGTGAACGATGCGTCGGTGATTCATATTGTGATTATGATCGTAGCACATGCGTTTGTCGCAATGACTTTGTTGCAAATGCTGGAAAATGTCAACCGCCCACTGAAGGTAACATTTCATCTTTGATTCAGTAGTGTGCGAATCGCAGAAATCCCTCAGAACTTCATCGAGTCGATCCACCATAAGGATCCATTCATGTTTTCGCGCATTTTCGCACATCTTACACACTAGTTCACCGTATTTATTCAACCAACAAGATACCTCATCTTCTGAACTGGCATCCATTCACTTTTGACTTCTAACGGTGCATTTTGCCCGTGCTTTAATTGCCTCAGGTTCATTTATTCTGAAAGCACTCTGTTGATCTATTCCTGTTTTCTATTTCAAATACTGTTTTTCAATTGAAGGAAAGGTGCTGAACTCAAGAACTCTTGAGTTGAGTTTTCATAGAAAAGTCGCTTCACTTGATGTATCGTTGTTATGTGTTGGTTATTTTACTTGCAATTATCAATCAGCTACTAATGATTCAAACAGTCAATTATTTAGTCGGTGTCCAATCACTGTCGATGTTATTACGTGGTTCAACTCACTCTTCTTCTTCTTTCACAACAACAACGTTTGCTCCATACGCGTCAATCACTCGAATTCCCTCCGATACACAACATCCGATTGAAGCAGCTGAAACTCCAACAGATTCACCTTTTACGATAATCGGTCATCACATCATATCGCAGGTGTCACATCCCTCCGCGTCAACTCAGCGAAAGACATCCCATCAAATGCGTTCAGCCGGACACATTTCAGCAGAAAATCAAAGGCGTGTCGTAAATACGGAACGTCTGTCCAAACAGGGCAGCCAAATTCAAAGCAGATCAGATCAAGTTATACCTAACGGTCGAAATTCTACATCAGATGTTAGCAATGATGCGTATCTCAAGTCAGATCAGGCAAATGTGGTTGATGAGATTGTCAAACCGGCTGACGAAGTAACGGTGGTGAATCAAATACAAACGGTTAAATCCAGACAGTCACCCACACCAGTTGGGGCGAACATGAGATCTGATGTAGAAGAAGGCTCGAGATCGATGGCATCAGCTCAGTCAGCCTATCGTGTGACTCGCTGTCGAGATGACAGAGACTGCAGTGGTGGCACTCGATGTGCTCGAGGCTATTGCTTATGTCCGGTATATCATACGTTGATTGATGGCCAATGCCATTCTGCGAATTCGGCAACAACAATTTCAGCGGCAACTTTAGGTTTCGTTGAGCATTATTTCTGTTTTGAAAGTATTTTCCTTTTGATTTTCCCATTTATGAAGTTGAGGAAACGTGATGAGGAATTTTCACTGATATCGAATTAGTGATTCCTGAATGTTCACTGGTTCATCGACATTTCCTACCATTTTCCACCGTTCTTTGATGCCAGTCATCACCTGTTAAGGATCGCTCATCGATACAGTGATCATCGATATAGTTCAACTGCTGTTTCAAAATTTTCAACGCTTTCTATTTTCAATCCATGTTTCCAAAACCTTCAGCAAGACCGCGACGTTGTGTAGCATCAATTCAGTGCTCGAATGGTACTGAATGCATTTGGGGTGTTTGCCGTTGTCCTCGTGGCACTACACAATCGCAGCTCGGAGTCTGTTCACCGGAAAGGACAGGTGAATTTTGTCACGAACTTATCAGTTATCGAAAAAAAAAACCTTACAAGACTCGGTGACTCGGTGCTCCAACAGCTTCGAAGCATTTAATTGATTTTCGCTAAA